TAGGCATTCTTAAAATATATTTACTGCCATAACTCTTTGAATATACCATATATTGACTGATGTGACTAATAACAATATGGCACATTATTAACTGAATCATTCAAGTTCATTAACACAACTGTTTAGTGTTGAGATAATAAAAATACGTACTTCAATTTTACTATTCAAGGAATATTTATTCATACAGAACCAACTGAATTATACATTTTAATCTCGACAACAAACGACTTTTGCTATTCCATGTAATTTTGTTTTCTTATAAATTAAAGCATAATCATTTATTAATCTATTTATATTATTATTATTAATCTGAATATAAAAGTATCTGTTGCTCATACAATGAATACTAACTACCCTTAATATTCAAATAGTCTTTGTACAGAAATCCGCCCTCGTGGAACTATTATTAACACATTAACGATAAAAATAACAAAAGACTTATTTTTATATAAATATTATAATTAAACGGGGTCATATACCGCATGGTATTAGTCATTTAATAATTTCTCTAATGTAAATAAACTACTTTTTTTACATTTTAGACAAAAAGTGCAAGAAATGCGAAAAAATATTATAAAATATGAAAAATAACTGATGGAGCTGATAAGGAACATATAATCACAATCTCAAATATTTACTTTTGCTTTGAAGTTTATTATAATTCATTGATTTCATGACTAAGGGACGCAAAGATTAAGTGACATCACAGCAGCTTTAAAGTTTGTGAAACATATTATTGCAATCTCAACCTAAATATTTTACTCAATATAATCAGAAGTATAATGTATATATATGTGTCTTTAAAAAAATCTCTCAATATTATTAACTACAGTAATTAAGTTGGGCATTGAAAATGTTCTCATTACTCAACTTTGTTGCGGTGATATACCACGTTCTTCTCACTATTTTACACTATTCATTTAAATGATTTTTGTGTGTAGAAATCCCATAGAACACAAGACAACAACGTTGTCATGTTCTTCTATTTAATATTTCTATCGAATAGAAGAGTAGATAACCGACAGAGGACTAAGAATAATAGGAATAAAGTTAAGGATTCTCATATATTTGATATTTTTAAGAAAATATATAGTCTGATAAGTGGATAACCTGCAGAGTATTAAGATAATGGAATAAAGTTAAGGCGTCTTATTATATTCGATATTTTTTAGTACTGATGCCTTCTGTCAAGTGGATATCCACTAAAAGGTTAGGAAAATAGGAATCAAGTCAAAGTATCTTTTTCGTCAATTTACCACTTATAATCTGAATCCACAAAAAAGTTGAAAAAACTGGACATGAAATTTTAGACATACTTAATTGTTACGAATGTGTAAACAGATAATCACAGATAAGTTTCTTTAAGAATAAAATCCATAGTAAGTTAATAATAATATATATTTATTATATTGTATTCTTTTTATATCACATATAGTGTTTTGGCATAATTTCGATTTTTCGGGCACGGTCATCGGACAAAAGAGTTTATCAAACTTTTAGCTATTTTAAACTATTTCCACTGTGGTAATGTTAAGATAGCTTGGTTTTCGATATACCGGACGCGCCATGGTCTATTTATTCTTATCAGTTCCACGACGTTACATAGCATATGTAGTTTTTGTCGAAATATCGAGGAACAAGCGATATCGTCATACAGCATAGCAGAAGTAACTGCTCAAAATATCTGATTCAACTAGAACCCTTTGTGAAATTGGCGTACCAGGAAAATCAAAATCACGCGTCAGCAATCATTTATTAAAAAATACAGAAAATAGTAATTATGAATAATAACTATTTTCCATTTATACTTCAGTTAAACTCAAATTTTACTTATTTTATTTTCCAGCTATTTCCTTTTCTATTAAAAATCCTTTTAAATGTACAACAGTACATTTTGAGTGTAACGTAGCGTATGGGCTACAAAAATTAATGAACTGATGAGTTCTCTTTGAACTTTAGCAACAACCGAAATAACAAACTAATCAACATAATTAAACTTAATTAAACTTAATACGTACTTAATTTATAAAAGGATTATCATAAGCCCAAAAATGACATTTAATTAGACGCTTAATAGCAGCTTAATGAGGTTTCCCTTGAAATGAAATATTCGTGCACATTCCAGAACAACTGTTGAGCTTTTTCATGTGCTTATTTCTGGAGCAGAACCTTTTAAGTGCACGTCAACGATAAAAATATATAGCATGTTTCCATTTGGAGAGAGTTTGGGTAACTCCCCTCAATCAATGCAATGTACACAACACACAAAATGGAAATTGTCTGTGTGAAAGCCTGCAAGAGTTTATTTGGTCGTAAAACGAAACTCAATATATTCACAGCAAATCGTAACGAGGGTAACGTAAAAAGTATTAATAAAGAAAAGTAGTAAGATTTTAATGGGACACTGTGCTCATGTAGAGGTTTAAAAGTAATAATAAAATATAATACAAGTACATGCTAATGTAAAAGTATAAATAATTTAATAATATTTATGATAATACTTTTTGTCTGAATTGAAAAGAACCAACTGGATGTGACTGCATAAGTTAGTAAAATGAAGTCCTACTAGCATTACTCGATTATCAGATATGTATATATTTTTAATAGGTAACTGACATAACCTCACATTTGTTACAACATACTTATTTTTATAAATATTTAACACAATGAGGTGGAATCCATAACAGTTTGTATAAAATGCATATTTTGGTTATGACCCTCGTCTCTTAAAAAGTCTATATATAAAGTAAATAAATTCACTTTTGTATTAAAATGTTCCTGTCAATATTTCCATTGTAGTATTACATTATTAAAAACAGAACATAATAATGCTGTCACCGCTTACTTAAATAATACAACAAAAAAAAAAACTCAAGCTTTATCAACACAAATCTGAAAAAAATGTTTAATTTTAGAAGAAACACCATTGGAAGTCAAATTACTGTGTTGGAACTTAAAAAAGGTTTTTATAATCGACAATCTGGGATATGAATCATAAAATGATATTTAAATATATTAAAAAGAAAGTTCATTATTTATTATTCACAGAATATATTTAAATGGTCGCTTAAATATTTGCAATATAATTAGATCTAATTCACTAAATTTCTTTTGCAGAATAAACAACCACTAACTTCACTTCCCGATAAAAAAATGTTCACCACACATTTTGAACAGAATTTTTTTCTTCTTTTATTCCTTCCTATCAGGGTCGAACTTATATGGGTTCCGGGCCATAGGAACATCTCGGGGAACTGCATGGCAGACGAGCTTGGCAAGGCAGGCGCTCTTATTCCTAACATTTACTTCTCAGTGTTTCACTTGCTACAGTTAAACTAGCAATAATACAAAAATACCTGAGCATAGCCAAGCAATACTGGACTGACGAAGCCTATTGCCAGATATCTAGGTTGACCTAAGATTGGGTCTAATCTATAATAACATTTGTCGTAGCTGTGTAGATGAGGATAAAGAGACAATTGTGTTCCATCTCATATGTCGATGCACTTCTTTAGCTAGAAGATCAAAAATTGTCGGGTCCCTTTTTTTTACCGACCTGTTATCCTGTAATACTAAGGACTTAGTTAAATTTATAGAACTGTCAGGTTGGTTTTTCTTTACTTAATGGGGCAGTCTTTTTCGGCGTTGGTAGTATATACATACGACTGATCTTTCTGGTACTATAATGGGCCCTTATTTAAGCTCAAGTGGGCCTTTTGGATACGCCAGTCTAACCTGTCTACCTATTTCTTACTACTTATAAAGTGATAATCAATAGTAAATAAATATTTATTTAAATTTAATATTTGTTCTTCATAAATATTTGACATTTAAAAATAACAATCATTAAAAGTCTAGTATGCTATAAAAATATTCGATAAATATAGCATGTAGATATCTATAATTCTAACTTAATGAACATAAATGGATTTTATGCATATTCAAGTTATTTTTTTTTTTTAATTTTATTGAATTTTTTTTTTTTTAAGTAAATATCAAACAGTGTCTCTACTCTATTCTGTAGGTGGATCTGTTGGTATCTCACTTGGAATGTGGATTAAAGCTTATGCTTGATCAAGATTTAATGTTTCAGCATCCATATCATTCATTAATATGCGTAGTTCTGAATATAATCGAAATTCAATAACCCCATCCTATTCAATATGATATTTTAACTCATACGACTGTTGGGGTTAGGTAAACACTCCAACCGTTACAGTGATTCTATGAACTGAAACTGTGTGTCACGCAATGTGTTTAGCATAGCAATTTGTCTTTTATCATTCACATGAAAATTATAATGATAAAAAATAAATAAAATTTTTAGAATAAACAATTTTCTTCTCTAATAAACAGTAAATTAATTCAATTCTGTTAAATGTTTGCGAAATTATGTTTACATTTATGGATGGTTGGTTCAGAAAACAAAAACAAAACCGAATGCAATTTAAATTCTCTAATCGATTAAATAAACCATTATAATAACAACACCGAATAACGCCTGGACGAACGCGACGTACTTAATTGGAACGTTTGGAAAAGAAAACAATAAAAATAATTCCAATAAAAAAAATCCTTTAACTATATATGTACATACATTGAAATAATAAAAAAGAATAATTCGAAATTAATCCATTATTGTTTTGATGGAGTTCTAGCTCAGCAAATACACCCTATAAAGTGACAATAGGGAGTAAGAAACATGGAGTAAGAAGCAGGGACTAATGTAACCCAGACGTCAGTTGCAGAACGGGATCAAATGACCTCAAAATTCTTTTCTAATTATATATTATATTAATATATATTGTTCGTAGAGTGTCAGTTATGTACTCGCCGTCCTAGGCAATAGGAGTACTATCTTTGACATTCTGTCGTATTTTTTTTTTTATGGAGCTATTTTTCATGTGGAGCTACTTTTATATTATACATTCTTAGTGTTACTTTTATTACTCAAAATTTTAATTTTATATCATTTAGTATTTCATATAGTAATAACGCAATATATCTAGAACTTCGGTATGTATATCAACTTCACTGCAATAAGTCGTCTGGTGGTTTATCTTTTACTTCCACTACAGTCTCATATACAGATAATGCAATGACAGATTGTAATGCTTCAAAGTTTATGGTTGGATCAATTGCTTCTAGTAAGTTGTATTCATCCACGTTACTTGTGCCAAATCCTTTAAAGTTTTTCAAACTTTTATAGCCAGGATCCAATTTTAATACATTAGTTACTATAGGATGTGATAAACCAAAAAATTTTTCTCCATTTACACGCAACGGTAATAAGGTAACCTCAGTCAAATTACGCTGCAAAATCTTCACAATTTGTTGATGGCAAAGATTAGGATTGCGCCCAATGATTATATTGTTTTGATCATTTTCTGGTATTATTTGAAACTGTGGCATACCAGCGTTATTAACTATTTTACAGGTATAGACACACTTATCCCTTGGGTTTTTCGGATGTACATATATACGCGTCGAAATATATCCCACTGGGTATATCCAATCTTTCGTATGAAAATTTGAATTGTTTGTTATGATTTTACCAATTGAGTGAATTGAAACATTATATAGAACGATGGGATATATTAGCTTGCCATTTCGATCGAATGTCTTATCATTTTGTAAACATTTATCGTTCTTAACACTATCAGTTTTAGCTTTACGTTTTATATGCTCGCGTTTTTTTGCAGGAATTACTTGTTTATCAACTAATATTATTCCTTTTTGTGGCGCTGATTCTTTGTGCTCTTCGGTTGATTGAGTTCCCGGTTTTATTTCAGTCTCTGACTTTGTTTCAGTTTCTGACTTTCTTTCAGTCCCTGGTTTTGTTTCAGTCTCTGACTTTGTTTCAGTCTCTGACTCTGTTTCAGTCCCCGAATTTATTCCACCATCTGATTTTTTTTGAGTTTTTGATTTTGGTTTGGTTTCTTCTTTCGGTTCGGGTTTTGATTTTGTTACCAGACGCTTTTGTAGTCTTTTAGGTATTTTATCCACAGGTTCGTGACCTTCACAACGCATCAAACGTTTCGCTAAAAATTTTCTATTTTCGCGTGCTATTGAGATTTTTGTTTGTACATCGGCAAGTTCATCACAAACCGCTGCGTTAATCTACAAATTATCAAACATTTATAAACTAAGTTACGGCTTTCTATATAGAGCATTAACAAAATGCTCTAGATTCGCAAAATATCTTCGAAAATTGCATATATCAATGCATTGAAAATTGAATATAAATTTACTACTTCACTTACAAATATCATGTCTTTCACTTCTTGTTTCAATCTTTTGTACTTTTTTTCATATTTTAAAATAATGGGTCTTTTATTTTCAGCATTTTTATTAACAAATTTTTTAAGTTCCGACATTATTAGGTTTATTGATCAAGCCTCTATAAAAAAGTTGTGACATGTAAGGTGCACTCATAGAACAGAAGCAGCAACAATTATAAATTGTTAAAATGGCTACCAATAATTATTAATCCCATCAATCTTACGAGCTATATTCAGTTTCCATCACCAAATAATCAAACGGTTTCAAGACAAGCAAGTTTAAAGCCTGTTTTACACTAAACGATTTTAATCGTGAGGCAATAAACCCAAAGAGATAATGTTTTTTCTTAGTTAACTGCAGAAGTGAATATATTGGAATATTTTGATTATTGGAAAATGTTTATACTGAGGTTTGCTTGTTAAACATGTTTAATGTGGTAGACTGGAAATAGCTTTAAACACATTAAATATGTTAAATTTGTTTTATTTTAACAGTACATAGCAGATAAGTAGAGACAGATGCCTACCATGCCATGAATACCACCTGCAGACAGGTGTTAAATGGTTCCTAAGTTCAGTATATTATATACATCATATTAATATAAAATTTACGGAGAGCGTTAGTTATAGTGTGTTCAGGCGCCAGTTATGCTCGGGACTACTCGGCTATATTTAATCACGCGTTCCAAGACTACTTTAATTTTTAGGACTGGACGTTAGCATAATGTTTATTAAAAGCAATATTATATATTAAAATATTTAACATATTTAATATATTCAGATTTAAACATATTTAACAAATATTTAATATATTTAACAATTTGGTAATTTTACAAAAATCATTAGAGATAAGTGATAGACATAAATAAATCTGGGCGTATTTAGTTATTTGTTTATTTCCGTAATGTAAGTTTTTCATTTATTATTTTCATTTATTTATTATAAATAATAAAAAGTAAACAATAATAACTAAAATACGTCATGAGTGAGTGAATTGTAAATAGTAACTTTTTTGTAAATGATAGTAATTTCATCAAGTTTGGAAATATGAAAATGTCGGACAAAGAATGAACTCCATATATATAACATATATTGGATATCTGCTGCCGATATACATATAATGTGACCAAGCCACTTATTTTGAGTTTTACTTCGGTTATTGCCTGATTTTAAATCATAGTTTAGTGTTTGTTATTGTGGTGAGATGCGGTGATAAATGAGGTTGCCATAACCTAGGCTGCATTTCTAACCCCTATAATGTCGCGTATGCATTTTCATGTCGGAAAGCAGACACTAATTTGAATTGAATTAATCTTTGACTCAGTTTTATTGTAGTGACAAGATTCTCCCACCTCGACCCAAGCTAGATTCATTAAAAATCCCACTCATTCATAATTCGTTTTTAATCCCAAGCAAATCTCATTATCTCTTACATTTCCTTTGTCTAAATCCAAATATACATATTTGTGATTCTTTTCATGTTATGTTATATAGATCTGCTTACGCTACAACAGATCTGCTTACAATAACAACAACAACAAAGACCTGCACATAGCTTGCTATTATATCCCAGATTAGCTATGTTCAATGATATATAAAGAACAAACAATGGAGTTAATCAAATAAATAGAAAAACTGCTTATCACAAATTCCCATAGAGATCAGTTTATGTGAATTAATTAATAAGTCTAGAATTAAAAGCCATTCACTTCGAAAATTAGATCAAGGCTTCTCTAATTAATCTAAACCGAGGTTGGCTTCCTGATTTATTCAAATCTTTTAAAGTTAATAGATTTGTTTTATTTTAGAGTTTTAATAAAAATATAATACCAGAAGTATGATGTAAATATAACCATATTTATATAAATAGATAACATACATATATGTACAAAACTATATATATGACTTATGCTAATTTTTACTATAATAATGATAGACATATAAATTTAAATTTTCACTGATGTAAACGACCAGGGGTTATAGTTCTAGTTAACCACGACGTTCAAACAGTCTCCCCAATTCCAACAGGGAATATATCAGGCTGATACAACAACGAGTTTTATTGTGTATGTCAAGCATGGTTGCGGATATATTGTTTCCGTTTGGTAAATCTGATTTCAATCTAGATTTACTCTCGATCTGTCAAATTTTGTTGTCCAGTCCGAACATTTTTAAAGTAATCCAACATTTTTTAGTTGTGTTAGTAGACAACAATATATCGAAACATATATCAAACAAACTTATTTCGAATCAAATTACAGTTTATCTGCCAAATCATACACAAAACACCTACTAATTTCAGAGTAATCTTACTACTCTGGTAAAATATCTAGAGTGTTATGAAGTAACCTCAAGTGCTACACATTTTGCCCCAAATTTATCAATCGAAAATGAAAATTGCGCTAAAAGTGCTTTAAGAGAGCATCTCGATTGAAAAAAATGATCCCAGACTTTATAAGAAAGGGTCAGCTCTAGTATAGTAAAGAGCGAAAGTATGGGTAAATATGAATTAATTTCTTTACTTTCCATTTCGATAAAATCATTTTCTTGTTAAGGTTTTGAATTCCTTTCAACTGATTAAGTAATTAACGGCCATTCTTCTACACTCAAGATTTATGTACTTCACAGTGTAAGTGGCAAGCAAGGCATCACCAGCGGAAAGCAATAATAAATCTGAACGCAATCCAAATTATCTAAACGATTGATGAAGCAATAAAAATAACAACAACACACAGCGCCCGTGACGAACGCGACTTGCTAATAAATATGGAAATGGGGGCTACGTGTTTTCATGGAAAATAATGTAGTGACTTGCAATACAAACATAAATCATTTATCAATACATTTTCAATTAAAATAAAAAAAAAATCAAAACAACGCACTTTAACTCCAATGTTTTTCTTTGTTGTTGTTGTTTTTCAATGGAGTTGAGTTCAATTACCTTCCAAAACTGTGTGCTTATCAGGTGCAGATGATAAGCTACCGCCTCCTCCAGCGGGCGTACCACCTTTGACATGTTGACTCATTTTTTTGGTGGAACTACGTGTTCTCTTCCACTTCTCCAGTTTTGCTTTTTTTTTTATTAAATTTTAGACTTTGAAATACAATTTAATTTTATTGTAGAAAAACAAAAACAATTAAAATAATTCGCACTAAAAAATATTGAACTTTTGTTTGTTATTTATTATTTGTTATTAAAATGAACTTGTGTGAAGACCACGTAATTATTTTGAATTTAATTCTTTCTGCGTTTTGTATTTTTATATGGCTTTGTTGTTGCTAATCACTTCGGACGGAGGAGCAGCAACTCGCACATAAATAACTTGCAAATTTTTGTTTTACTTTTATGGCATTTATTTTGTTTAATTATTTTTATCTATTTTAATAAAATCTTCTTCCGCGGCAAATTATTTTCAGCCATTTAGTTTTGCGATCCACGTACCGCTGCTTACCGAAACATACTACTCGGGAAAACTACTGCGCTTTATTTTTGGACTCAATTTGCTACAAGCGGATCCGATTCGAGGGGCAAAATCTCAGCCCACTCTCACTCTTACGCTCAGCTGTTTTTTAATTTCACAACAAATTAGTAAGCGACGGCAGCACAGGTAAGCTATTATTTTGAGTAAACTTTTATATATCGTTGAAAATAATAATAATTTTAAATTATTTTATATATTTTACGTTATAGTTTATATTATGAAATTATGAATAGCTGCTGCTATCGACATTGCAGCATTTAACAAGCAATACGTCACTATCAGCTGTTCGTGTTATTATTTTTGTAGATAAATTTATCTACTTTTTAGTTGTGTTTGTAAAATAATGGATATGTCAATACACTGTAAAAAATTACATGAATTTTTTCTGGCAATTTACTATCAAGTAATGAGATATGAATTTTTGTATGATATACATTAACTCGTTTTATATATTATATATGTGCATTGTAATTTTTTTTTTAAATAAGTAAAAATTAATTCAGTATATACAATTTCTATGAAGTTTTCATATGAGTTATCTTAACAAATTGGATGTTTTCACGTAGAATCTCTGAGCGCCGCTAGTTACGATATGTTTCTAAGTAAAGCTTAGTATTAACAGCCATTTTACATGAAAAATTTACATAAATACCATAATAAAAATTTCTTTAATCTTAAAATTTTGTTATATCAATTTATCGCACAAAAACTAAATTTATTACATACATCCAATTTGCCATTAAGCAAATTCACTGTCTTATTGTGTTGTTTTTGGCGGTCTCTTTAGATTATTTTTTTTATAGAGTTTAAAAGAGTGCATTATTCTTACCGTTGACGCGCGCGCGAATTGGATGTTTTATGGTAGATTATTCTTAACCATATCTTTCGTGGTCTCTTAAGACCATTTTGGGTCCGAGTGTATTACGATATTCACGTTCTTTTCTAAGAGGTTGACACTTAGTTGTGATAAATGCTTAAGTAATTTTAAACTAAGTTTAATAAATGCAGTTAATATGAAATATACAAAAATTTCTTATAATGTTTGGAATTTTTTAATAAAGTCAATATTGTTTTTGGTTCATTTTGTCTTTTCTGGTCTGTTAGAAATTTTTTCATAGAGTTTACAAGCATCTCTTCTTCTTATGATTACATCAATAGTAAGATGATCTTTATTGAAGATTGATCTTAACCGCGATTTTTCACAAAAGATCTTTCAGGTCGCAGTGCACGTATAGCATATCCATAATAATAATAATCTCGTTTTCGGGTTTTTTCTGGTTCTAAATGTGCTAGAATGTGTAATATTCATATATTATCTATGAGATGAACCAATTTAGATAAATTTAAATTTGTAGCTTAGTTCCACGGTTACTGTGGAAGTATATACGGATATATTTTTTTGCAAATAGTCAAATCTCGACAAGTGCTGTAAGCAGATATGAGTACAGTCAAGATGTAACCTTATTAACTCGTTGAATAAGCGTAGAATAACTGACGTATGTAATATGTATGACAAATTTTATGTCCAACCATCTATTGCATCCATTAAATCGATGCAGACGTTATATGTTGATACCAACAAAATAAAGTTGTAAATGTACTTATACACAGTAAATCCCGTAATATAAATACCATATTATAACCCGCTTTTAAAATAAATTATTATATTTTAATCTGTCCTAACCAACAGCATAAAAAATAAATATACATTACACAAACATATATATGAGCTTAGATACATAATGATTTATTAGAAAATTTATTTTTTGAACATGATTTATATCTTTGATAAGATCCAGACATATTTTTCTTAAAATTATAAACGTTAACTAATGTTTTTAAATGTAACGGAATATAATGTTAGTTTTTGTTTTAATTTAAATATTATTTGTCTACAGAAACACAATATTTGACTTGAAAGCACATAGTTTTAAATTTACTTAATATATTTTTCCATAAACTTTTTGTGAAATTCGCATCGTAGTGAATCATTAATAAAATGTGATTTTTTCTCAGGTTCAGTACGCGCACAATTTTTAAAAACCACATCATCATCCCAACGACGCTTTACTTTCAAATCTCCACCGGTAGCTTTACTAGCTGTGGCAGCTGTTCCCGGCGCATAGTTAATTAATGGATTACCAGATAAAATATTTTCCATACGAATACGTTCCTCTTCTTGTTTCTTTTCTTGCTCTTTGCGTGCAGTTTCCTGTAAACGTTCCTGTCTAACTTTATTCAATTCAGCCATAAGTGCTGCTGTATCGTCCTCAGAATCCGAGTCGTCAGAATCATCCTCAGAGCTGTCATTGTCAACTGGATCATCAGCATCTAAATTAACTGCAGCTGGTGTTTGGTCTAATTTCGCACGTTTGTTGTTGCTAACAGAGTTATTTGCTTCAATCGCTTTACGCACTATTGATGGCAACGTTTTATTGGGACGAGTGTCACGTTCACGTTCTTCAAGTTCTTTACGGAAATCACGGTTCCGCAATTCTTCAGAGGTACCTTGTCCAGTTTCTCTATTGAAATATTAAACAAACATAATTTCATTTAGTAATATTAATAAAATAGAAAAATTATCATATTTACCTGTATTTCAGTTTTGTGTGCCCAGGTAAGTCTCTGCTTGAGTATTGTTTGCTGAGTGCACTTAAATCTTTTTCGCCACGTCCACTACCACCACGAGCTGGATCGAAAGTAGGACGTGCTGCTGTAGTCATTTTACTTCAAAATTTAGAAATTAGATATGTAAAAACGAAAACTAATAACTAATTCCAGAAACTTTATATGAAATGCTCTTGCTTGACTAAGCTGCGTTGTTGTTTTGACAGCTGTCATTTTTTTCATTAGTTGTCAATTATAAATAAAGTGTTCGGAAGAATTGAAAGTTACAAGTAATGTGTTCGTAAATATTGATAGTTGAAGATACATATTTCGATTATGTTAATTAAAAATTTAAAAATTTTGTAATAATTTTGCAAATTTTTGATATTAAGAATAAATGCATATAGTTATACTCCTAATTTTAAAATAAATATGAAAAATTTAGTTGTGCATAATAATGTTTCATATATTATTTTATGATAAAGGTTTAAGATTAAATTCTTAGCTATCTTCAATATTGAATTCACATGACAGTTGTGTTTGTAATTTTTATGTCAAAAATTTTTATTTTGCATTAATGTCAACAACAATTGACAGCTAAAATTAACAACAGAGCTGAAATTACAAACAAAACTCTCGTGTGAATTCAGTATAACATGGTAACAACTCAAGAGTAAATCTGAAAAACACCATAAGTTACTGAGCCATTAAATTTGAACATTTTTCCGGAATTTAATAAAACATTAACTATCATTATTATTTCACAAGAAGTAAAGTATCTTCGAACTTTGATTTATTATTTTTACAACTTTTCCAAGAAAGAATCGGAAAGAGTGTTCAGACATTTATAATTTTACCACTTAGTGATTAGCGTGATTTCAAAAATTCAATCCCCTTGTATTCTGAATTATCTTATATACGTTAAGATATAATTTGTCAAGGATATACTTTAGTAACACAATTAGCTTTTACACATTAGATTTTTCGAGAAAAAAAGAAGTATATGAATATTATTTTGTTTAACTAGATCTCATCTCATATTAATGGTGATTATAAATGTTTAGAGGTGCCTGTTCCAAGTTATGTTGTTATTCAACTTAATATTTACTAATAAATATCATGGTTTCGATAATAGCAGAGGTGTCTTTTCTGTATAGATAACGTATAAGAACCGTTTTGTTATTGCACATCTAGAAGTAACACTTATGAATACTAATTTTAATCTATCCGTGCAGTTGATATAAGAGAATATTTTTTTTTTTAAAAACAATTCCGTTATTCGGAATTTGACCAGAGATGTTACTTTGAAGGCCTTTATATTGAAATTAATAAATTAGCCCGTAATTGGCGATATACATAGAAAATATTTAATTCTTATTTTTTAAATATAAGTTGTTATTTTAAAGACGGAAGTGACTATTATATTTAATAGAAACTAGTATATTTCATAAAGAGGTTTTCGAAAAGTAGTGAACTACAACAACAAACATTCACTTTTATATTATTTTTATTAATTGAATTTTTGGTTGACTATATATACAGCTGTTTCAAATATTGCCAAACACCCATCATCAGTGGTCTTGGAAATAATTCTTGTGTATAATTATTCGTAAATAATTTTTGGAGAGTGAAAGTACTAGGAATCGAACTCGTGTTCTGCCAAATTTGAAGCTCAGAGTCAGAGTCAGAGTCAGCGCACCTTCTTCTGGAATTTTGTTAATTTCTTATTTAAATATCTTTTTATTTATTTATTTTTTTCATTTTTATTCAAAGGGCATCCTTTTTAGCATGGGCACGCTTATTGAACTGTCAAAATTCTATAAATCGCAAAAAGTAATAGATTGTAAATTAAGTGAAGATAACTTATACTTTCTACATACTTAGAACTAGAATCTGCGCCAGTTATAAATCATTTCTTTAAGATTTTCAAATTTTTGTCATTATTAAAAATTGAACTTAGATGAATTCAGGTACTTCATAGTCGAGGCTTCGGAGATATAATCCACAAACATTTATGGGTTATTTTATTAACAAAAAAATACTTTAATCAATTTAATACAATATAACAGTAGCTATTTTGTTTAATGATCAAATTCACATGTAACAAAATGAGAAACTTGCTACACCACAAGTTAAGTAGTAAAGCCGATACCCGTAGTTCATGCACTTAACCGATAATATGTGAAAATAATATTCAAATAAAAACTATACGATGAAAAAAAAATTATTTAATAAAACAAAAGCAATTGAGTTTGATCATGAAAATAATGATGACTTCAAATTAGCCGCTCGATCTCGTTTTCAATTTACTACTCCGGACACCATGCAATTAACTTCCGAAAATGAATCCGCTAAATCAACAACAACAGTGGCAACGGCAAACGGCCAACGGCCAACGGCCAAAGTCGGAAAGTGCGATGAATGGCGCGGCGCGTACACACGTACCACACTGCAACTGCAACTTTAACTCCGCCAACAACACACTGCAAAGTGGGTTCAGGATCATTACGTGTTGGTTCATTATGAAGATCAAAAATGAGAAAATGAAAAATTTCAATAATGAAACTTATGATTTGCATGCGCGCACAGTGTCTGCAAAGACAGTTTTGCCCCAGCCAACCTTAATCTGGTAGAACAAAAATGGATATGTAAACATAATGGATCAAAGACTTTTGAACCTGTTGCTTGCTTTTCTGACTTTCCTGACTTCTGACAGGTGAGCAGTAAACAGTCAAGCGAAATTGAAAGGAATTACCTACGTAGTATCATGTTAATGATGATTGCAAGATTTGCTCACGATGCAATTGCGTTACGTTTACATTAACCTGGAGCAGAAAGATCAGCACAAACAATCAAAGACCTTCTCAGTTCTACACTCGTTTCACATTTGATTTCCTTCGCTATTTGATTTAATGTAAAATTGATCGATTGTTGATTTGGTTTTGGAATTGATTATTTTTGCTCATTCCAACAAATCAAAACGAAATCATGATAATCATGGAGCAGACACCATCACACAAATGAGTTGCAGCGATTGTGAGTTTGAATATGTCAGGGAACAGGATCGCTAAAGCCAATTTTTGAGATTCGCTACCGCTGTTTTTCTGCGGTTTCACACTTTGGTTAAGAAGATTTCGTGTATTTTAGGTGCATGGGTGTGTTTTGTGGGGTTATGAACACTGCTTTCAAAAACTGTTAAATTTGGTTTACTCCTTCACTTTTTTCGTAAATTGGTTTAAAAAAATATGTTAAAGTGGTGAGGTTATTATTAAAAATTTAATCAATGTGTGGATTTTTACTCTAATATATGATAACACGTATTTTATTTAATAGATTCAGAATATTCGGATATTTAAAAAAGATACATTTATGTATATATTGCATGTATTTTGAATAAACAGCATTTAAGGAATGGAGAAAAGGAAGTCTAGTAGCTATTAAATCTATTTAATCTTCGATCACTAAATCCCAGTTTATTAAAAATTTCAAAAATCTGATATATGATGCCTCAAGACCTTAGTTTCGATAGTAATAATATCGTAGGTAAACTTGTAAAGGATCGAGTCAAAAGTTTCATATATTTACGGGATTCTCACTTGTGGGAGCCATAAGCTAAATACGAATAGCTCATTCGTGTAAAAAATAAAAATACTGATAAGTATCTTGTATGAACAGATCACAACTATTTTCCAAACTGGAAAGTAGTGATGTAAACTACCAACTTTCAAAGATGACATATACTTGACAAACAACATTCTTATCAAAACAAAAATCGAGAATAAAATATGGATGTAGGAATCGGCATATTGTACAAGAAGAGAATAATTATACGGAAAAGATGGCACATCAATGACATTCATAAGGTAGTTGTCGACAGGATCGACCCATGCAAATATGGGTTAAAACTGTTATCGCAGAAAGCAAACAAAGAACAGGATGTGCTGATATACGTTGCATTGTATACTATAGGGCCCTTGTCATATCATATCATTATCGATAATGAATTTTTTAGAATTTTTTTTAATTTGGCAAGGAAGTAATAATATAATAGGTTTGAATCGTCCTATGGACACATAAAACACACAATACTTAGCCCACAATACTTTATTACTTGTATTGAAGTTATTAGTCATTAATTATTATGGACTCTCTACTCCATTGAGTGGTTGGACTTGTAGGTGTCTCATGAGGATTATGAGGTGATTTTGATGTGTATGTGGGTTATCGTCAGCTAGTTTATTAGTGTTCGTTGTTGCGTATATCTTTATAACTACTCTTAAAAAAATAAGAGAAGAAATAAATGTCCTTTGAAGGAAATCATGAGATTTGATATTCTTCGCATCAGAACTTCTGATATATTATTGTTTTTTATTTTAAAATCTGCAAACAATTAATTTGTTTAAATAATTTTAAACTGTTTTTGTTTATTTTATTCCGGAATAAAGTTTATGTAAACCAGGAAAGTGGCCAAAAGTGACAAATCACTGCGATAGCAAGAGAATAACGTTTGACCACGAAATAATGACCACGAAACACATGTTTCTGGCTTGTGCCAGAAATTATGAACGCGTTAACAAATTACAACAAAGCCGAATACAACAACAACAACATCAGCGGCAGCCATTACAACAACAATATGCTGTAAAGAGAACATTAAATGAACATGTAACGAAATGTGGAGAAAATTGTTTAAAATTTCATTTTATATTAAACATTGCCGTGTTGCAAACTGTAACTGCAAGGATATAACAGCGACCTTCACACAACAATGGATCCGACTCTACATGATGCAGACGAGGCATAATGCAATGCAATAAAGTTGCAACTGCAGCAGCAGAGGCAACAGCGACCAGAATAGTAGTCATGTTGCATAATTTAGTTGACCAATTTACACCAACCCAAAAGAAAAAACCTTTCCAAAGTTTACATATGTACTTGTGCATGTGCTTCATCCACTACCACGCACGGAAGCGTTGAATCGTCAACATCAACCGGCCTGAGTAAAAGCCAACAAAGAGGGTTACCGATAGCTACCGGAAATGTATACGCATATGTAGTGTCGGTTGGTGTCGCCATAACTGCAGCTCATCATGTCTAAATGCAAATAAAATAAAAATGCATTTCGTCCTTTGTTGACTTTTTGGCTGATTGCAACTTGGCAGGACAATGCAACACGACTGCACTTGACATATTTACTTGTGTCGGTAATTTGGAAAATTTTACTATTTACTACTGCAGCAAGGACCTAATGCCATGTGACAACGAGACAATTGTTTAATGTGTGTTGCATGTGCGACCGCTAGACATTTTTTTTCATATTTTTTTTCTGACTTTACATGACCGAATGGCATATATGGAAACCGGAACCAAATTTTGACGTTTAAAAAAATTTTAAATTTATATTAAATTTCTACTAAATTTTCACTAAATTTATTCTAAATTTTAATCATTTTTCCTTTAATTTTTTACTATATTTCTACTATATTTCTACTAAATATCTACTAAATTTCTATTAAATTTCTATTAATTTCTCTTGTGAAAATAGTTATGTAAATTCATGATTTCACAGTTGCTTGATCCAACACACGTGGTAGAGCTTTTTCTTGCCACTTCGTCATAAGCAAATGCCGCATTTGCCACACGGTTTCTTGGTCGTAACTCAAGCCGCCTTCAAAGCGCTCACAGTAATTTAATGCCAGCATTAGACTTTCTTAGCACTTATTTAGTGTGCTCCCATGTATGTAAATCGAATGTACTGTGCGTGTGTGTGTTTGTGTATGTGTGTGTGTGGTGAGTTTGAGTTTGGGACGAGTTTGTGCTTTCAATTAACTTCAGCTGCTTTATATTTATTATCCCGGCTACTGTAAGTGGCGAAGCCGATGGCTCATGGCTTATGGCTTTTGCGTTTGGTAGCAACATGTTGCATTGGCTTTGTTCAGACTTAATTGTTCATAAACTTCCATTCAGAAGCAATGAAAGTCATGTCAGGTTAATTTTATTTGTTTTTTGTTGTAGTTTATTTTTTAAGAACTTTTATTATAATGCAGTTAATAAATATTTGCTATGCCATGAGTTATTCTTTATTAAAAAAATTAATTACTTTACATTTACTGATGCCTTATGCTGACGAAAGTTACTTTACAATAATGTGTATATACTGTTTTTAAAAGTTCTTTTAACTAATGACAGTAATGATTAAAATATTATGAGAAATAGCGAACTTTATGGTGTCAACCATTTTTTAAAAGTTGATATATAAAGTAACATAGCCGATATCTTTATGAATCATGTATACATTGGCCATTTATACATTAGCCATATTTACATTAGCCATATCTACATTAGCATTATATACATTAGCCATATATACATTAGCGGTATACACTAGCCATACCTACACTAGCCATACCTACACTAGCCATATCGAAGTTAGCAATATCTACATTAGCCATACCTACATTAGCCATATCTACATTAGCCATATCTACACTAGCCATATTTATATCAGCCATATCTACATTAACCATATCTACATTAGCCTTATCTACATTAGCCATATCTACATTAGCATTATATACATTAGCCATATATACATTAGTGATATATGCATCAGTTATATCTACATTAGCATTATATACATTAGCCATATATACATTAGTGATATATGCATCAGTTATATCTACACTAGTCATACCTACACTAGCCATATCGAAGTTAGCAATATCTACTTTAGCCATATCTACATTAGCCATATCTACATTACCCATATCTACATTAGCCATATCTATATTACCCACATCTACATTAACCATATCTCCATTAGCCATATCTACATTACCCATATCTATATTGGCCATAATCTACACGATAAGATTTTTATAAAAATGAAAAATGAAAAAGTAATCAGTAACTGATACTAAATGAATTGTCAGATACATAAGGAAGAATATAAGATTCAGTACTTAGCAGGTTAAATATTTAGGATTTCAGTGAAGCAGAGTATTTCGACTACATTACTACTTTGGGCTTCAACTGACCTCCCTCGTATTAACGGTACATAATCCTTCGGTTGAAAGCCAGAATGTTCTTTGTTGAGGAGTTCATAATATCAAACGGGCATAAAAGATCATATCCTAATATTCTCAGGTTTATACAGAGCCGTCAAAATATGACAACAATTTTGATATTATTCATTTTCCCTCAGATAAATATGATATTGTGTCATCGCATATGCCAGGTTAGATGTTCCGTCAGGTAATAGTTACATCATCTCTGTTATACTTAGGAGACATATCTTTTTGAAGTCATAAGGACAAACCAGGTTTTTTGTTAGTCAGTACTTTGAAGTGTAGCACCAATAGTAACATTTTTTAGTTTTATCCAGTCATTGGTCAGAGATTAAATTGCGAATAAACTAATTCTGCAATAAGACTCAAGAATTAGAATTGTGTAGCTTATGAATAGTTTGCCGGACTATTCCTCGGTTAGGATTACGGATTGAATTGGTAAATTGGATTGAATTTGATTTCGTTTTTATGGATTTTTGGTTTTTCGCAAAATGGTGAAAAATGACTATGGGAAGTGGAATGATGTTTACTGACCTGCCACTACAACTAACGATGTAAGCAATTATCCCTTATCCAATCATATTTCATCTCTACCATATTCGATATTTTTAGTCTTTAGAAAATATTTGATTAGACTATCAGACAATCGTTTCCGTTTGTCTAATGGAATAAAAAACTAAAAGTGTAGCAAGTGACCAGGATCCTATTGGATGATAATGCGCCAGTAAATTAGAAAATAGAGTTCGTAACTAAATCGATAATGAAATTTCACCTTTGCGATTAAGCGGAAATGCAAATGCAAAACCTAATTTGTTAGTGCAGAATCTAGACAAATTTTTCTACGGAACGCATGAAAAAGTGAGAAAAACTAAAAGCTCATTTGTAGTGACTTCCGTTAGAAAATGAGTATGCATTTCCTGCCAATTACAAACGTTTTAAGCTACGCACTGCGACAGACGAATAGGGATTCAAGTTTTCAATAGAGCGAGTAGTAGGAGCAAGTATGGAAGGATATGCGAAACTGTTGGGAACATCTGTAAATGATTTGTGCACATGCAGTGCAACATGGAATTGTGCCTATTTGCAATGGAATCTTTATTTTATGTGCTTCAGGATACGTTTCAATCTTAGCAGCACTTGTTGAACTAACGACAGATCATTTACATTGAAGACAAAATGCGTTTAAACTTGACAATGCCAGGACAAAAGAATAAAATACTTTTTGTACGTATTTAGTCCATTTAGTCCTACGACGAGTATAGAGTCAAAAATTTCATATTTTTTTACAGGATTCATGTTGTGCTACTGTTGCACGTATGCCGACTGCATTTGGCATCGAATGAGGATATTCATTACTAAGTATGAGTGCTTAGTTAGCTTTTGTAAGGTTACAAGTCATTTAGTGTGAGAAATTGACCATTAAAATTTACAACACATATGCATTTCATGATAAATGCCAACAAATGCCTGCAAATACTAGCAAATGCTTGCAAATGCTTGCAAATACCAGCAAATGCTTGTTTGTATCTGTTGTCGTAATTGTTGCAAATTTCGTCATCGCAAGGAAGGCAGTCAAGAAATGTTGGTATCGAAAGGAACTACGTAGTACGTACCATTCAGTGCGTATGGCACCAATCTGAAAGGTTGACCTTCCTTTTTTTGTCTACTGCGTACAAGTGTAGCAATTCACATGATAATCAAATTGTTGGTTACGAGTTTCACAAAAATCGTTGAGAGAGTTCGGTGCAGTATTTTTCCATGAGGAACATCCTTTGGAAGAATTGTGGCTTGCAATTGTGCGTAAGTTGAAAAAGTGCTATGAATATCGTTACCAATCGGAAGTATTCCGGTGTGAGTGCTGTTAAAACGTGTATTTAGGCTTAAATGCTTAGCATGTCTACATTGCAAAAATACCAAAAACAGTTAAGTATTTGCGGTTTTCTAGGTACTTTTCAATTTGAAAAATGGTTTTGAGGTTTTCAGGCATAAATTATATTTTTAGTTTTTTTCTTCTATTTGCTAGAAGAATTTATGCTATAAAATATTTATTAATTGTCATGACTTCATTTATGAAAGTTAATTGCCTTAAAAATGTTTATTTGTTAGAAAATAAGCGTGTTAATATTATATATTAAAGCTTTAACGAAAGAAACTTTAATAAATTATTGACTGAAGAGATAAGAGGTTTTAAGATTTTGTAACAGAATTCTACCAGATTCATCGATAGTGGCAGTTATTTAACATATATTGATCCCCACCATATAATTCTCAACAAACATAGGGTAAACGTTGTAAACATTGAGAAAAGGTACCTACCTATACTATATGACAGGAGACTGAGTCTACGCCATAAGTAGTGATTTCACCTATATTGATCCAAGTTGCATTAAGTAATATGTACCTATATCAATACTACATATTAAAGGTTAAACGAAAGAAACTTTAATAACTTATTGACTGAAGAAATTTAAAAGAGATAATATAAGTCGTTGCAGCATTAACTTTTTATAAATCAGAAATAAAACCTCACCCAATAGGTAAAGAGGTTAGGCGTATATCTAACATAATAAAAAGCAGTTATTTAACTTATATTGATCTCACATTAGCTAAATCTCAATAAAAGAAAAAACGTTAAACATTGTCACTTCTAAAATATACATATCAAAGAAAGGTATCTATACATAACATGAGACTGGGTGTACCTTATAATTAAATTTGTTGCGTTTGTGGTACTGAGGAGGATGAATCTGTGTTTAAATCTTCTTTGTTAATGCCTGTCTTTAGCCAAGAGAATATTATTAATTTTTATGGACCAACCCGACAGAGTTCTCACCATGCAAAATTAGGCTTTTGGCCAAGTTTATGTCTGTTCGGTAACCACTGTGGTGCTGTTAGTGGTCCTTCTGGTCTGCATATGAAGAATGTTTACACAACATTATTTGAGCTCAAGTGGGCTAAGCTGTACAAGACCGCCGATTAACGATTTGTTTTTATATCTTCACAAGAAGTTTGGCAACTGTAAACTGAGCTAACCTTAATTTTTTGTTTTAAGATATATTAGATCATTGTAAATGGCTGCGTATTTGAATTATTGAGGCTATAATACATCGATCATAATTCAAAAACAATCCTTTATGTAGTTAGTCTTCATTTTAACACAATTATTTAAAGAATATTTTTGTTGTGAAGAAAGTCTTCTTGACTAAACTTCAGTCCTCATTTGATTGAGTACAAGTTAGGTGAAGATATCGAATTTATTTTATTATAATCGTAGGACATAGATAGATGCGCGATAGATTACATATCCCAGTGTCTGCAAGTACTAGAGAACTATCCAATATTTATATTATTTATAAATTATTTATTATTAAAATTTGGCTGACCAAACAACGCTGTTTCGAGTATTGCCAAGTACTCATCATCAGTGGGCTTAGGAAATATTCGAATTTCTTAATTAGTTTATAGTCCGTATATAATTTGTTTGGACTGCAAGTGCTGTCCAGTAGGTATTATTTTTAAATAACTGCATCTACATTTATTTATTTTATATTCTCTTGATACGAGCAATAGGTTTTAAAATCTTATCAATAATTACAAAATATTACAATTTTTATATTTACTATACATTGTATGTTATAATATGAGATAAAATAACTAAACCTTGTATTACGGATCTCACTTAAATCAATGGGTTAAATTTTATTGGAATGAATTTTAGGTAGTTTATTAAGAAAACAATGAGCAGATTACTAAGAAAAGACTGGAATTTTTACTTGTACTTATTGAATTTTAATTAATGGCTAGACGGTCAGTTTTTTTTAGACGGGAAGTTGTGAATATATTTATATTATTAACTCAAATTAGTTGTTGGATTACTATAGGTACCTATCGATCATAGCGATCCATACCTTCATGTACTGTTCTTATTCGATTTCTCTAAGTACTAATGCAGTCTGGTAAATTGATTTCCTACAAAAAACTAAGTAAACTAAAATTTGCTCTAATGCTGAGAAGTGCCTTTTCGATTAATTCTTATTAAAAATCAAAACAAATTTTTATTATTCAACTTAAAATATAAGTAAGTTCTTGAAAAGCATTTCGAGTTAATTAAATCGTTTAAATTATTAATAAATAATTTTTTTAAATCGATTGAATGCAGTTCCACGTATGCTAATAAACGTAAAATACGTTAGCGCCAAACAAACTGAAAAAAACGTGTAGTTCGGATGACGTTACTAATTTGCTGAATGATAATGCAAACACTTATTCCTCAGTTTGTCAATTAGCCAGTCAGTCTGTCAATATCACGTTTATCGTTTGAGACAAAATTGAATAACAGAATTTGATTGAGCAACTCGAACTCATTCAACGAATCAATAAGCGATTACCAGGCGCACAGCAACTGCAGGTAATCGATTACGGCTTCAGCGAGTTCAACTGTGGTGGAATGAGTGTGTGGGTGCCTTTTGCTATGCGATCAGTGTTTGGCCAGTTCGATTTGTCATTGTTTTTGTTTACTATTTTGCTGTTGTTGTTGATGTTGTTAGTGATGGTGTTAGTGTTGGTAGTACGAGTGAGTGGTAATCGTTGCTGCGCTTCATAGAAAGAATTTCCGGAATAAATCAACAGCAAATGGAAGTATAAATTATATTAGTTTTTTTTCCCAAAATATTTTTTTTTGTTGCTTTTTTTTTGAATTAAATGTTTTTGAATTACTAACAATAAAATTGTTGTTAATTGGGGTTTATCACCTGCCACAATATCTTGAGCAATACTTGAGAAAGATGTTT